GCTTTTGACAGTCACAAGAGTGTGATGCAAGGCTTATATTCAGAATTAATCCTACCTTGCATTGAAGCTTCTGGATTCCAGGCTGATTTCCTCTGCATTTGTGTTGTTCTGATCACATCGACTGATTTGATGTTCCTGCTTTCAGGATTATATTTAAGTTTCCCCTTTGCACAGGTTTTTTTTTCCAAGCATTAATTCTGTCTCTTCAAGTCCACGTTGTGCTTTGCCTTAATGTGGCAAAGCAGGATGGCTCCATGTGACCCTCAGCAGCAAATCGGGGTCCAGGCACTTACTTTTGAAGCTATTCCATCGAGATTTCAAGTTTCTTAAGGAAAAAATAAGTAAATAATAATAAAAAAAAAAATCGTGGTGATCCCAAGCCACTGCTTAGAACTCTTTTTTGTGCTGGTAAATAACTCATAGGGCAGCACAAACCTGAAGGTCAAAGGAACAAAAAGCCTCAACTACAAGAAAAAGTAACAGAGGAAGAGCAACTTTTTTAATGCAGGGACTGTTTTGTGGGTTTTTTTACCAGTGTTTAATACAAGATTAGGCTCTGTTTGATAAGCCAAGGACTGCAATGGAGCACTGACTTCCAAGGAAGATTATGTCAGTGACTTTGCTGATTGTGGAGAACACAGCTCTTGAACTTGGAACTGCAGTGTCTGAGGGCTGCAAGGAAATCTGTGTTAATGGCCAAGCTGCAGATGGGCTCCTGAGTGACTCTGAGGGCAGAGGTTTGTGTTAACTCAGGGTGAGTTCCCAGGGATCAGCCCCTGCAGCTGGAAGGTGTGTTTGCAGTGCACAGGGAGTGGGACTCGCTGCAACCAACCCGTTTGTGATAAGGCTTTGTTGTGGTGACCCAGGCAAAAGAAGGAGCTTTCCCTCTCCTTCCCTCTCCTTCCATCTCCTTCCATGCTCCTTCCATCTCCCTTCCCTTTGAACATGAGGAGTTCACCCCAGCACAGCACTTAGGAAGGGCCTGCAGGGACAATTCCCTCCCTTGCTCTCCCTTGGCAGTGGGAGAACAGGGTTTGGCCGTTCCACTTGGAATTCGTGCCTCTCCTCTCAGCTCACTGCAGGGCTGCAGAAGGGTCTGTCAGTGGCACTGGGGACACTGATAACGAGGAGGAATCGAAGGCAGAGGAGCCATTTCACTGTGTTGTTCTCTCTCATTGGGCTGTTTGCAAGGTTTGGGCAGTTATGGAACTCGTGACCCAACTTCCTCCAGTCTGACAACAGGGTGTTTATCTTCCTCCTTGGACTTGGGTGACTTCTGGCAAGGAAAAGCCCCAGAACCACCACCAGCCCTGCCATTATCAAGGCCCAGCTGGTGGCTGAAATGGCAACTTCAGTATCTTTTAGCAGTTTGTTCTGGGGTGTGTTCCCGTGGCAGTCCAGGACATACAAATACAGCATCAGCCTGGAAATCCTGAGAGCCAGAATCCTGTAAGGACAGATCCCGACCCCTCTCCTGCATTCCTGTCATAAATGCTGGAAGCACTGCTGGCCTGGGGGCAGGAAGCAGCTGCAATTCCCAGACCTCCAGACAAGGTGTTTTACAGAAAACCAAGAGCAGGTTTTCCCTGGCGTTGCCTTTGGTCTCCCCACTTGGAATTGCAGACAACGTTGACTTTGCCAGTGTGAAAGTTTAGCAGGTTTAAGGGGTGTTGGACTTCAGAGGGGTCCTACAGAAAACAGAATTCATCCCTCTGGCCTGCAGACCAGGCTGGTAACCGGGTTTAAAATGCAGTGCTGCAGCAGTTTGCCTGTAGAATCATCTGGGAAACTGTAGCAACTGAAAGCTTTTACATTTTCTAGTTAATCGAGCTGCTTTCCTGAAAAGAGTCAAGGTCCTTCCTTAGAAGAATCACCAGTTTTCCTGTGAACAGTGAAATGGTGTGATAAGCAGACCAGTTTTTGAATTCTTTTTAGTAGAGTAGCAACTGGAAACCCATAAACTGAAGAATTCTTGCTTCTCAGGCACACACAGCTTCCTGTGCCAGTGAGATTAGAGTCCTGACAAGATGGATCAAGAGGAAAGTCGTTGTTTTTATCTGTTTTGAAGGCACAAACCCAGACTCCATTAGTCACACGGGGAGAGACAGAGCACCTCCCAGACACCCAGAGCTGGATCTCAAGCTGTTCTCCACGGCTCTGTCTCTTCTCCACATCCTGCTGGGACACAGGAGGTAAGTCCTGGCTGCCTCTTTTGATCCTCCACATGTTGGATTTCTCCAGAATCTCTCCACTTGTGTTACCTAACCCTTCTTTCCTGGCTGCCAGCAGCTCTCAATCCTCCCCTGACACTATCAAAGGAGATCTCTGTCATCAGTGGGTCGAGTGTGGGGCTACAGGGCAACATTCCCCATTGCTTATCTCAGCTGGGACACAGATTTATTAACCCTTGTGCTAGCCCATTAATCCAGTTCAGTCCTAAAATCGGGATAATGACATTTATGTAACGACTGGAGGTGTTGGTGATCAGCCTGAACAATGAACACAATGCTGGGGACATTTCTCTGCCTTTGTGTCACTGGGTGACCACTGAGAAATAACTTGTTTGTCACACTCACGTGCCACCATTTTCAACAGAATTTAAAACTTTGTGGCACAGTTTTATTCCTCATGATTCCTCAGGAATTCTGAGTCATCAGAGACTATTTGAAATTGAGGCTGAGAGGTAAGAACTATGTTCTTCAGCCCTGCTGGATGTTAATAGAGACAATTTGCTAATTGTTTCCTGCTCTGTGGAAACACCTCCCGCTGAAGGCAGGTTTGGGGTGTAGGTGGAGACTGAACAGAGCCTCTCTGTGTCAGGCACATCTTCTGTGCAAGTTGTCAAACAACAGCGGTTTTGTTAAATTATCTTTCTTGTTAATCTAAAGCCAGTCAAATTGTATTTCCAAGAACTGAGAGCCTCATTAGAAAAAAAAAAAGCAGAATGTTTTTATGCTCCTTTTTCTCAAGTTGCTGCCAACATTTCTCTTTATTTTCCCTGGGAGAGAGGGAACACAGCCTGGGTTAGAGAGCCGAGCTACACTGTTCTGCTGGTGGTGTTGGGAGGACAAGCTCAAAAGGGACCTAAAACTCTTCTGTTTCTTATGGCCCTTCAGTCTGTGGAGGGAAGAGCTGGTACAACAGCCTGGGACATCCTTCCTGCCTCCCAGGCAGAGCTCCCAAGGTCGAGGCTGGACCTGCCCAGCTCAGAGCTGCTGTTTTAGCCGTAGCTCTTTTATAAATAGGCCCAGCTCAGCTGCTTAGCAGACTTATCTCCACCAATTACCAGGGATAAGTGCTCGGTGCTGCAGAGTTCATGCCTCTTACAAAGTGTTGAGTAACTGTGGGAGGTTACTCTGTGTGTGGGGAAAAAGAACCTGCCACTGGAAATGTGTGTTTTTTAACAGTCACTGTATATTGGTGTGGAAAATGGCTCTAGTGGGGATTTATTACTTTCTTCTTAATGAATTTGGGAAAATCCATGCCAAGAGCCAGCTCAAATGACAGGGTACTCCTTGGGCAGTAGCTGGGTGTGGACAGATGTGGCTCACAGAGGTGTCCAAGCTCCTCTCACCTGGAATGTTTCGCTGCAGACTTCAGGTTAATGCTTTGACCCTGTAAAACTGAGCACTGAGTTCCTGCCCAGTGTCATGTTCTGGTGTCCCTTCACAGTTTGGGAATCTCTTCCACCTCATTAAAGACATTTGAGACCCCGAGACATCATTAACTCCATAGCACTGTGTACTGTTGCCTTAATTCCTTGCAGACTGGGCTGAGCAAGAAGGACTGAAGTGACATTTTAACTCAAACCCCTGGACTTTCACAAGTGATGTAACCTGGAATTTTCCCACATGTAGCAACTGCTTCCTCTTTTTCAAGTTTGTCTCAGCGTTTGCTGACTGTCAGTTGTTTACAGCTTCCAGTTTCTCGAAAACAAACTCCTACATGAAGGAGAAAACAAAATCCCCGATTGCCACATTCTCACATGGGGTAACTTGTTCTCTCTTTGTGGCTTTGTCCTGATGTGATTTATCCAGTGAGTCTGTGATCTCTTCAAAGTACTATTGGTTTGAGATGCAATTTAGGAATTAGAAAACCTGCCTGGGTTTGGTAACTGAAGGAGTCTTTTACTGTTGGCATCTGTACAGGGGCTTGATCCTGCCTCTGTTGGAGGATCTGGTTTTTTGTGACAAAGCTCCTGGTGATTTCAAGGGACTGAAACCAGATGCCTTTTGTTTTTCCAGATCAAGTACAGACTGGAAAATGGTTTCCTCCATTTCAGCACCTTCTGCCTGTATTTGAGTGACTCTGACACAGTAATGTGTGTTGTCAAACAGGGGGTTTGTACCAGAAAGAGAATTTAACTGATGATGTCAGGCCACTTGAGGGTAAAAGTTCAGGACAGGTATTGTGGGAGATGTGAGGAGGGCGTGGGTGAGCTGTGCCAACAGCTACACCCTTGGCAAAGGGAGGGGAAGGCGTGGTGGGAGCTGGAGGGCACAGGGAGACAAGTGGGTGTGCAAACTGTGCCTGTCCTGGCAGTGCAGGTAGGGGGGACATGGGGGGATGGTCGGGGGTGACTCTGTGACTGAGGGGAGAGGGTTGGAGGAGATGGTGGTTCAAGGGGAGATGGTCAGAGGAGATGATGGTTGGAAGTGGGATGGTTGGAGGGAGATGATGGTTGGAGGGGAGATGGCCTGAGGAGATGATGGCTGGGGGTGGTGGGGTGGTCGGAGGGGAGCTGCCCCATGTCCCACAGCCGGCACCTCTCCCGCGCGTGTACCCGCACCCGTGCGGGATCGCACTGTTGGCCACTATACAAACCCGACCATCCCCGATTAATTAATTAATAAATATCTGGGCGATCAACCAGCCATGAGGGAGTTGGGGGGCGGGGGGGGCGGCCCCGCGCAGCGGCCGCGCCTGCGCGCTGGGCCCGGGTGGCTCCGCGCCTGCGCGCGGGGAGGCGGGGACGGGACGATGGAGGCGCGCAGGGAGCGCCGGGCCCTCGCCCCGCACCGACCGCCCCGCGCCCGCCACAGCGCCCGGCACAGCGCCCGGCACGGCGCTCAGCACCGCCCGCACCGCCCGCACAGCCCGCACCGCCGCTGAGACACCGCCCGCGGTGAGTCCGGCCCGCGCACGCCCACCCGCGCAGGAGCGCGGCCGGGCCGGGGGGAGCGGGGCGTCCCTCTGTCCCTCGGTGCGGTTCCCTCTGTCTCCCCCGGTGCAGGTCCCTCTGTCCCCTCGGTGTGGGTCCCTCTGTCCCCCCGGTGTCCGTGGGTCCCCCCGGTGCGGGTCCCTCTGTCCCCCCGGTGCAATGTGTCCCAGTGTGTGTCCCTCTGTCCCTCTCTCCCCCTGGTGCGGGTGTGTCCCTCTGTCCCCCCGCTGCTCGCGTGTCCCTTGTGCGTGTCTCTCTTTTCCCCCGGGTGTTTCCCGGTGTCCGTGTGTCCCCGCCATGGGCGTCTGTCCCCCCGGTGCGGGTCCCCAGTGCGTGTCCTGTCCCCAGGGTGCCTGTCCTGCCCCGGTGCGTGTCCCTCTGTCCCCTCCGTGAGTGTCCCCGGTGCGTGTCCCCGCCGGGGCCGCTTGGATCTCCATCCCACGTGCCCGCATCCCCATCCCGCATCCCTCTCGGGCTCCCCGGGAGCTCCGGCCAGACCCAGGAATGTTCCCCACCGGGAACCCCGGGGCGGGACACTTCCCGTAGGGATAACAGCTCATCCCGGAGGAATAACAGCTCATCCCGCAGGGATAACAGCTCATCCCGCAGGGATAACAGCTCATCCCGGAGGAATAACAGCTCATCCCGGAGGTGCGGGTCCGGCTCAGAGCGGGCCGGTGGGCTCGGGGTGTTAATGCCCCGCCCGTGGTGCTGTCGGGGGGTGTTTTGGGGTGGAAGGGTTAACAAACGGGCTTGTTTTGCCCGAGTGTCGCACACGTGATGGTCACACCGTCTGGTTTTTGGTAGAAATAGCATTTGGGTGTGTAATCAAAACCCGGGCGGATGAATTGCAGCTGCTGTCAGAGAGGGATCGGGCTTGTTCAGACCCACGAAAATGCGAAGTTCTAAACCAAACCAAGAGGAAGTTTTGGCTGTCTCATACACTTGTTCCTTTTTCTGCGTGTGAGAGGGGCGTTTAGTGCCCTGGGGGAAAGAGTCAAAGGCAGGTAAACCTCTCTTGCAGTGCTTCCTTCAGCCAAATACAACATAAAAAAACCTTCTCCACAGAACTAAGTGATCCAGCAGACAGGGCTCTGTAGCAGTGGGGTGAGTGGTAGCAGTTTTGGATAGAACCTTGTCCTCTTTTGTCCTAATACAAGGTACAAAACAAGGTGTTTTGAATACCTCTTCAGTGTCCAGGAAATCAGAAATGCTGCAGCCTTGAAGGCGTGTGAGGATCTGGTGGGGATGGACCTGCACTGACCCTGTAACCAGGATCACTCGGGGCAGAGCCTTTGACAGGGAGAGTTTGTTATGAAATAACAGCTCTCAGGTCATTAAAAAATAAAATTAAGTCCCCTGGTGATTTGCAGCCTTATGCTCCTTCTGGGGATGTGATGGCCTTGTGTCCCTCTACATAAAGATGGTTTGATGAAACCTCTTCATGGGAGTGTTAATTCACAGTGACAGAGAAATGTGAGGTGGGAAACTACAGTAAAACTGCAGTTGGATCCATGTGAGAGGTGATTCACCTGGTTCCTGTGTCACCATCACAGATATTTAATACTGAATGTTGACAGTTCCTCAATTGTCCTTCATTCTGCAATGTTGTTTTCCTTAGTTTTTTTTTTTCTTAAGTTTTTTAAATTCTTGACATGATTTAAAGCAGAGCAGCCTTTTCATTGCTTTGTTAACATGTGTTTAAAAGTCTTTGGATCCAGTCCTGGAAGCTGTTCAGTGATAGTTTTGTCCTTATGTCAAGTCTGCTTATTTAATAAAGGTCTTGTGAGGGAACGTTAATTAAACAGTGCACGGTGCAAGCTGTAGTTAAAACAGCCTGAATTGGAAAGTATTACATGGAGGGAGTTCTTAGGCTGTATTTAGTAGGTCTGTGCACCTTCTTACTTCCACTTTTGTGCTAATCTGATTTTCTTTACTGTCAGCATCTGTCAGATGAACATAATTCAATCAAAGTCACATGGAAACACTCCTTACTTATTGCTTATTATATAAATTATTGTTCTCTGCCCTCCCCCCTTAGTCACCTAACTGGCACAAGCTTTACATTGAGCTTAAATTGTCTCAAAATAGAGGTACATTTTTTCCCCAGTCTTAGTTATGAGGAGTTATGAATATGTTGAAATGAGGATTTCCCAAGTGCTGGTCACGGGTGACGCTGAGCAATGAGTAACCCACAGCTAAACTTTGATGCCTCTGCAAGTGCAGGATGTTATCAATTATTGATGGTGGCAGTAATTGTACCTGTCTGTGGGGGTGACTGAGCTGCAGCAGGAGCAGAAGTCCTTTTTAATTTGATTAGCTGGTGGTTCTGTCTCATTCAGTAACGAGCCAGTGCTGGGTCTGAAATTCCAGCTGCGTTTTATCGGTGGTTTTGTTGCCTGGAAGTTGGGATGCTGGGAAACAGCACCTGTAAGATCATGGAGTGTGTCATCCTCTGGGGATTTTTCTGGGACTGTTTTCCAGAGCCACAGCCCATTTTAAAGGTTTCAGGGGTGCTCAGTTCCCCTCTGCACAGGACAAAGTGGGAAGTGCATCCAAAGGGATGAAACTTTGAAAAACGTCTGCAGGTTTTTAAGGAACCAACTTTTTCCCCGTCTCGGAATCCAGTGCCTCAAGGAATGTGCTGTTCCTCTGGGCTGCTCTCCTTGGATACTATTTGTTTATAGTTTGGTGTTTGTCCATACCCTGAAAGTTGGTTTCTATTTATATTCTGATAAGGCTGGTTCTGTTCGCTTCAAGTAATGAGAACTTACATACGAGATTTCTGGAACTTTTGCAGTTATTTCAAGTTTAGGTTTTGGTTTGGTTTTGGTTTGGTTTGTTTCTGCAGAGCTGGGCTTTAACCAGCTGTTTATCTTCTGTTTGTGCTGGTTGTTGGTGGAAGTGAAATACTTCACATTTGTCCTTATTTTGTCGTGTTTGTTTTGGACACATTTTGTCACAAATGAGTTAAGAACTTTCTTCCAACTTCTCCTCCAGCTTGTTTTTCTCTCTTCTCAGCTTGGAGTTAACCTGATTTTTGTGAAGAGCTGAGGTTTATTATGGTTATTTCTATTTCATTATCTGACAGGGGTATTTTTTTATGCTCTGTCTTAGAGTATTCTGGTTTTATGTGTCCAATATATATATCACCTAATGGGAGACTTTATAGTTTTTCCTGAGTCTTCATTCCTTGGCACATATTTAAAGCTTTCCCTCCTCTTCAGTATCAAAAATAAATTCATTTTATCCCTTGTGTAACTGAAGACATGAATCTGTGCTGGTCTTGAAACAACTTTGTACTAAGCCTGTTCTAAATCTGGGAACATACTGGTCATTTTTAATTCCAGTGTCTCCTGATTACCTTGAAGAACTTCCCAATTGGGATCCTTCGGGGAAGTGTTTGTCAGTGGGTGTGAACTCGGTGTTTCATGTACCTCCCAGCTCCTCTTGCAGAAGCTTTAATAAAAACCAATTAAAAAACCACTGTGGGGGCACTGGGAGGACCCCACCTGAAGCACTTTGTGGTGAGTGATGCTGAGCACGGAGCAGGGGCTGCAGAAAGCAGGGAAATCCCCCAAACCACACGGCTCATCTTGGCAGCAGGGGCAGTTCCAGTCACTTTTTGATGTTAAGCACAGCTCCAGTAATTTTTTGGTGTCCAGCACTTGAACTGCTGAGAGAAGAGGGCGCCTTGGGGCAGTGTCAGCAGCCTGGGGTTAAAGCAGTGATCTGCATTTGAAGGGGAGCCCCGTTAGCTTTGCTAATACCCACATTTTAATTTTTTTTTTCCCCAGGGATCGAATTTCTCTCTGGCTGAGGCTCCTTCGCTTCCAGGATGGAGATGAGTCGGGAGAAGCTGTGTGCCAGCAAGGCTGAGGGCAGCTCAGACTCTGGCTATCACTGCTCAGCCTGTCACGATGACGAGGAGTGGGGCAACACCAGCCGGGGACGGTCCAAGTCACGAAGTCTGTCGGCTTCACCAGCCCTGGGAAGCACCAAAGAATTCCGGTACAAACTCCTGCTTCTTCCTCTTCCTGCTAAAATAGATCAATTTAGCTGGATTTTAGTTTTCACTCCTTTTGTATAACCCTAAAATGCACCTCAGGAGGTTGGTTTTCCAAAGCGAGGGCAGGAAGTTGAAGGTGGGGGGTAAACTAAGAAAAACAATATAATAATGTAATTAATAATAATTAATAAAAGTGGCCTGGCTGTCTAAACAGGTGTCTGAGAGTTCATAGTCTCAAAAAAAAAAAAAAAGGCACAAATCAACAGCAGAGACACTCCTGCAAATCTTTACCAATGTTCTAGTGCTGCTTTTATTTCCGCTAGGCAGAGCTCTAGGACTGTGTTAAAACCTGTGTGAGTGTTTAGGTTCTGTGTGAGGCAGCACAGTCAGTTTGTGTTTGCAGACACTTCCCCAGCCCTGAGAAAGTTCCAGTTGTTCCTTTGGGCCAAATTTCCACTCTCGCTGCAAGGCCCTTGTCATGTGGACAGTGATGGAACCTCTGATTCCGTGATCTTTGGACCCTCTGCAAATATTGGGCAGTGCTGGGGCAGCAGTGGGTCTGCTGTGGTGGAAGGCACAGCAGAACTTCACCTTCCTTGCCCTGTGAGCCTCTCAAGCACGGCCAGAGCCACAGAGGAGTTCCCCAGCCCATGGAATGTCATCCAGAGTTCCTGCTTTGCTGGTAGGAATGTCCTTGGGAGGCAGAGCACGGGTGGGTGAGGCTGCACTTCACAGGGTGCAGGGAGGCAAACTGAGAGCCTCGGTCTGGAGAGGCTGCAGGGTTAGGAAAATACCCTCTGTGTGTGGAGTTCAGGGTGTTTAATGCTTCTGGAAGGGGTTTGCTGAGGGCTCTGCTCTGACTGTTCCATCCTAGCTATGGTGGGGTGTGTGTAGTCAATAAATAAGACTTTAAATCATCCTGTAAAACTGGGGGGCTTCCTCTGCTCCACTTTATGAACATAGACTTCAGTCAACCTGTGTAAAAGGCCATGTGGTCCAAATTTTTGTGTATTATCTTCTGGCTAAATAACTGCTTTTTCAGCCAGGAGAGATCTTCGTGGGCCCCTGTGCATTGTGGTTTGGGTTGGGGTAATTGCTGCTGAGATTTTTTCTTCATTAAGATGCTCTGCAGTCATTCACTGTCTTCAATTTAGGGCTAAATTGTCACAAGACTGCCAGGAAGTGCTGTCAGGCTTCCTCTGGAGTGCTCAGATGGAGGGAGTTGCCCATCTGCTCTGAACTGACAGGCAGATTTTCCTAAAAGATGTATAATTTCCAGGGCACTGCTGCTCATTCCTAGCAAAGACTGACTACAGATAACTTTAAATTCAGTGCAGGCATTTTATTGAGTAAATAATAAACCCAAGTGAAACCTCAATGAGAAGTTACACCAAGTATTGATTCATCTCTGGAACGTCCTGAAGGTTGGCCGTGGATATTTGAGGCCTCATGTGGGATCAGAATTCCAGTTACTGGGAGGGGCCTGGAATTCTTTCAACCTGTGTTGAAAGAAGGCAAAAAATGACAGTTATCTGGGAGAAGCTTGAGTGGGGCAAGAAGTGGGAGGTGATGTTGTGCCAGGGTGTTATTTAACTCTCCTCATTTCAGGTGTAATTGCTCATGAGTGGAGGGAGACTTATCATTCCCTTGCCCGTGTTGGCACACACGTTAATCCCTCGTTATGTCAGGCCTTGCTCATTTTTCTGCTTTAATGTAGATAAGGTAAACTTTATAAAACACTTAGTAATACTCTTATCTGACTGGGTTAGTCATGCCTGGCCTTAACAGATGGAAAAAAAAATTATCTGAGAAACGAATGTAATTTCTGTTTTCACGGTGGGAAGTCGGATCTTGGGCGCTCACATTTTGTTAGACGTGGAACAAGCAAGATGTTGCTGTTATTCCTTAATTATATGTATTTGTAACCTGTGATCTGGTTTTGATTTTTATTAGATTTCTGAGGGGTTTTTTTTTAGCTCTAAGAGTGAGTCACAGGGCTGGCCTGAGCTGCTTTATAACACACACAATAGAAGGCAGTGCAGTAATGATGGTGGCTGCCAAGCAGTGGGGTAAGTGAATTAAGCACAGGAAAGGCATGTTTCCCCCTTCTTTTTAATGGAATAATTCTGGGAGCACTCACAGAACGTTTCAACAGTTCCATGATCAAGTTTTGCTCCCCTTTCCAGATTTGCTGAGGGAGGTGGGAGGGAGGTGAGTTCTGACGTGCTCCAGATAATCCCATCCTGGAGCCAGGAGTAACCCTGTGTTCTCCTGTCTTCATTTTGAGCATAAATGAGACCTCAGAGCTCCTGTTTGTTTGAAGGCAAAGATCACATGAGATAAATAAATAGTGGGGGGAAAGCATTTTTTTCAATCTGTTCAAAACTGTAGCCTCGTACTGCAGATATCTCTGTGTAGAACTGAAGGGTTTGCATTTCATTAATTTATTGAGTGCCAAGATTTAAACAACAAGAAGGTGTTTAAATAACCAGGACATGCATCACTGTGGCAAAAGAGTTTGAAGGAGTTGCCTTGGTGTTGGAGATCTCGCTGTAAATGCTTGTCAGGGCACACACTGGGAGACCTAATGCATGGACATTTTTGAGATGAAGAGCCCTCACCGAGCCATTTTCCGTGCATTTACACCAGGTTTAGTCATTCTAAAGATGTTTGCTTTCAGGTGAGATCTACATCTTAAAGGAAGAGAGGAAAAAAAGTATTGTTACTGTGCCTGCAGCGGCCAAGCTGGTGCAGACACCTGAAATGTGAGAGTTAATACCTACAAAATGAAACGGTAACAATAAATGTAGGGTTAAGAAATGCACTTTGCCCTGTATTTCTTAGTGCAGCTGTTCCAGAGAAGTGGTTTTGGTGGCTGTGGAGCCAAATGTGCCCAGATTTCTTTTATTCACTGGTTGTTTGGGTTTTTTTGTCCCTTCAGGAGAACGCGCTCCCTGCACGGACCATGCCCAGTGACCACGTTTGGACCAAAGGCCTGTATGCTGCAAAACCCTAAAACCATTATGTAAGTGCTCATTCTGGGGCAAAGAGAAGTTTGCTTTCCCACTCCTCACCCCCTAACCAGTGCTGTGTGTGTGTTTTTACCTGATGTTTGGAGGTTTTGCCATCCTGGGGCTGCTCTGCCAGACTGGCACGATCTGCAACCCACAGTTTGGGGGCAATAATGGCAACTTTAATCACTGTAAACTCGGGGGAACAAAAATCCTTCAGGACAGCTCGAGGAAAGGGAGAGGAATTGTTCTGTGTGCTGTGGAATCTGAGGAGAGGCTTCTCCCTCCCTCGGTGATGATGTTAGAATGGGTAGTTTGAGTTTTTTGTGTTTGATCTCTGGCACTTTCTCTGTATGAATATTGTTAGGGCAGGCTTGCTTTCAGACTGCTGATCAGTGTGGAAGGAAGGGTTGGTGTCTGCTGAGTGGGCAAATAAACATTTTAATTTTGTAGGTTGGGTGGTGTCAAGTGTTGCTTTTTACACCATGTGTTATATACTCAGGAAATGGTGTCTTGGTCAAACGAGGAATGTCAGGGTTTGACCAAGGCAGGAGTCCCTGATTTTGGGGTGGGGAGGCCCTGGCACAGGTTACCCAGAGAAGCTGTGGCTGCCCCATCCCTGGGAGTGTCCAAGGCTGGGTTTGAGCAACCTGGGCTAGTGGAAGGTGTCCCTGCCCAGGGGAAGGGAACTGGGTGACCTCTAAGTTCCCTCCCAACCCAAACCGTTCTGCGATCCCGTGATTTTTGTCCCTTTAAAAGGTTTTATTTCTTTGCTCTCTCCATTAAGTGTGAGGTATTTCAGTCAATATTTACCTGCCCAAACCTTTCCCTCAGTAGACAGTGATGTTCCTCAGAACACTGGTGGCACCCAAACCTTTCCATCAGTAGACAGGGATGTTCCTCAGAGCACTGGTGGCACCCAAACCCTCCCCAGGCAGGTGTGGCTCAGGTGAGGGCACCCTGAGCTTCCTCATTCCTCGTGTGTGGTGTAAAAGGTGCCCTGCAGAGCTGAGTTCAGCTGAAACCCCGCCTGGGCTGTGTTTCCTCACCTGGCTGTGGGGGAGCAGCTCCTCCCAGGGGCTGGCCCAGGACAAGGGATATAAACCAGGGACAGGAGCCCTGGGCTGCAGAGCCTGCGGGTGACACGTGCCAGGGAAAAGCTGCCTGGGCAGGAGAGCTGGGGAGCAAAGGTGCCTGAACTGAGGGACTGTTGGAGGACCAAACTGTAAATGTCCTTTTCTTACCGCACCCGAGGTTTTGTTGGATCTTCTAAAAACAAGCAAAACATTTTTTGTTTTGGTTTGGTTTGTTTTTTTTCTCTTGTGTAATCAATAATATTGTTAAACTCCCTTCGCTGGGAGGGATTTTTTAACAGAACATTAAGTACAGGCAGAAGTCAGTGAAGGTCTTGGCGTGTCTCTCAATATGACCATCGGCACCAGAGCTTGCAAACCTGCTTTCTGAAGGCTGTTATGATGAACTGAATGAAGACTCAGTGAAAAAAGGATCAGGTGGTTGTGCTCTTTGAGAGAAAGGGGAAGTCAAATACCTGCTTTTAAAGCTCTTTTTTGAAATGGGGTTTTCCTGACGAAATCTTGCCTCTGAAGATCCGGAATAAACTGTTTTACAGGGGATTTTTCTGTGAAGCCTCACTGCTTTTTGTTGGGACTGATTGCAACACTTCATAGGGAGAAACATTTTTCAGAGAAAAATGTTTTCTTCTGAGGTCACAGTTTATTAATTAAGTGATAAAAGCCTCAGCCTTTGACTTTTTTGGAGCTGTTGCATTTGCCTGACTCCTGGAGAGAAACATGAAGATCTTAAAGTGTGTTAGGAGTAATGTTTCCTTTAGTAGAACTGCGTGGAATTGGTGAGTACAGCTCAAAGCAGGCAGAGTGGCTTCTGTCTGAATGAAGTTGGAACTGGTTCTGGGCTTATCCAGTGAAATCAGTGCTGCAAACTTCAGTTCTTGTCAGGTTTATTGATATTAGACCTCCTGCATTAACTTGGTTTCTACTGTACTTGTACATAGAATATAGGCATTAAAATGAATTTTAAATTTACATTAAGCTGTTTGACTTACAGTGTTCAATGGGGGGGAAAAAATTATGCTGTAGCTTTTTTCTGATCCTCTGATTGAGTGTTTCTCCTTACTTTGAGTGGGCTGAAGAGGGCAGAGCACTGAAGCAGGCTGGAGGGGAGCAGGGGAGGTGGCACTGGAAGGGTTTGATCCGAGAGCTTTTGTGGGGCTGCTGTTCCCATCCCTGCTTGCCCTCGTTGTTCACATGGCAGCAGGGCCAGGAGCTACAGCACTTTAATCCTGGGTTATCTTCAGATATCAAAGCACTGATTGGTTTCAGGAGCATCATTACAATGTGAATTATTGCGTTTTCCTGCCTCTCCTTGCAGTGCTGAGGGCTGGGTGTGTTATTGGCAGGTGAGAGCAGGTCAGGGTGACCCTGGGGGGTTTTTGTCCTGCAGGCACATCCAGGATCCAGCCAGCCAGCGGTTGACGTGGAACAAACCCCCCAAGAGTGTCCTTGTGATCAAGAAGATCCGTGATGCCAGTTTGCTGCAGCCTTTCAAGGAGCTTTGCGTGTACCTGACCGAGGTAACGAGATGGAAAATCCAGTTTTACCATAAAAAAAGATTTACATCTAAACCTCTTTGAATTACTGAGCCTGTTTAATGTGCAGAATTATAAATATATATAATATATAAATATTCACACCCATTGCCACTGGATGTAGTAAAATCTGTTTCAGAGCTCAAGATCAGTGCTGAAGTATTTCAAGCTAAAAACCAAAAAAAAGTGAAGTAAAAACTTCCTTCTGCAGTCCCAAAATACAGGGAATGGGATATTTAAAAAGCTTGAAGCCCTGAACAAACAAACACAGCAGTGGTACTGCACCATGTAATCTGTGTTCCAGGCTGTAGTTTAGTTTATGAGATAGGTCTGTGCACGCTGCAAAATTCTCGTGAGAATTAGAACCACACATGGAAAAACAACCAAGAAATGCAGAACACTCCCATAAAATATTATTATAAATATAAATATAATATAATTTTAAATAATGTAACAATATTATAATATTATAATGTAATATTATAAATATAATATATTACATTATAATATTATTTAAATGTTTTAAACTAATGCAAATTGTGGGGAGAGTCAAACGTGTTGGCATTTTAAGACTTTAATAACGAGCTTATTGTCTCTCTCTCAAGGAGAACAATATGATAGTGTACGTAGAAAAAAAGGTGTTGGAAGACCCTGCCATAGCTAATGATGAGAATTTTGGACCAGTGAAGAAGAAGTTTTGCACCTTCAGAGAAGGTATGGAAGTGATTCCCTGAGGGTGCAGTTATTGCTGTTTGTCAACCCAAAGTGTCTTTTGGCAGTGTTTGTTGTTCCATCCCAGCTGTGGGGTTTTTAATGTTTGTGAGGGAACGTTGTGGTGCTGCAGCTTGGAATTTTTTTTCCTGGTTTTAGTTGGGAAACGAAGAGTGTTGCTACAACTGAATTCATATGTTGTGTTTCAATGTTGCTTCCAGATTATGATGATATCTCCAATCAGATAGACTTTATCATTTGCCTGGGAGGAGATGGGACCTTGCTTTATGCTTCTTCACTCTTCCAGGTTGGTCCCTGTGAGAAATAAACCTGTAAACCTTTTTTGTTTTTGAAGCATTTGAAAGTGGTTTTTCCCCCTTTGCTACCGAATTCAGCATTTGTCCTTTGGTGTTTGTTCCTGTTTCACCTTCTGAAAATGATGAAAAATGTGTTGGTTTTGTTAAACACAGTTGAAGTTACATTAAATTAATATTAAAGTTACAGTAAGTAACTTTACATATTGAAGTTACGTTAAATTAATATTAAAAATAAAATTAAGAGTCAAAATATTTACAGGCAACGAGTTGAAGTGTGAATTGCTTTGATTCAGTGGCTTTAAGATTCTTTTCTTTATTGATAGGGTAGTGTCCCTCCAGTTATGGCTTTTCATCTGGGATCCCTTGGATTTCTTACTCCATTTAATTTTGAGAATTTTCAGTCCCAAGTCACTCAGGTTATAGAAGGTAAATTTAAGGGGACAAGGCTTGGGGTGTTTCTGTTTGTTACATTTCTTCTGTACCTTTTTCTCAAGGTGAATTAAATTTTCTTAACTCATTTGGGTTCTCCCTTAAGATTGAGACTGGAGAAACGTGTATTAAATTAACAGAAGTATTGCACTGCATTGACCCTTCCAGTGCTGCTGTTCTGTGAAGGAAAATGGCTCAGAAATAACTTTGTGGAGCAGACAAGTCCAAGATGATGCAGAACTCACATTAAATGGCAGCTAAACATAGAAATAGAGTTTAGCTCTGAAGCCTCTGTGCTGGTTCTCTAAGCAGTGCAGTGCTTAAAAACAGAGAAGTCAGGCAAATATAGAATATTTAAGGAAATAAATACTTTATTTCTTCAATATGAGATTGAGTTGTATCCAAAGTAGATTCCTGAGAAGATGTATAGAATCCCCACATTTCTAGAATGTTTCCTTTTAAATACATGTTTCTGCTGCTCTGATTTTCCTTAGGCTTAGCTTTTGCCTCAGTGAGGATCACCTGAGCCCAGCAGCGTTTTCCAATCTTGATCCACGTCCCTATAAAATCAAATTTCACATAGTGAGGAGGGTGGGAAGGGAATGAGTTGAAATTTTACTTTAATTTTGCTCGTTGCTACTAAAAGATCAGTTTTGAGCTTTAACCAAGTGTGGCCGGTTCCCTCGGGAATGAAACCGGGAAGGCTGGAAGCTCAGGAATAGAGGGCTGGCATTTCATGCAGTTTGCTGGGGGGGATTTTCTGCATTTAACATGTTTTTTTGTGTGTGTTGCACCCCCAGGCAATGCAGCTCTGGTTCTCAGGAGCAGGCTCAAGGTGAAGGTGGTGAAGGAGCACAGGGAGAAGCTGACGGTCCAGAACGGGATCGAGGAGAACGGAGTCGTGTCTGCAAACCTGGAGAAAGAAGTGGGCAAGCAAATTATGCAATATCAGGTCAGAGGGCAGAGCAAGCAGAAGAACTAAATGCTGGTTTTGAATTGCTTTGTGCTTGTTTTATGATGACTCTCCCCTTTTCTTTAGCTGACTCTCGTTAGCCCAGCACTGTGGGACTGATCTGTGCTGCTCTGACTCAGGGTGGGCACTGAATGAGGGGGATGTGGTGCCCATTTCTGCTGCTGCTGTGCTTTGCTTTGGCAATAATTTCACAGAAATCACAGAATTACTTAGGTTGGAAAAGACCTCCAGGATGGAGTCCAACCTTCCTTCTGTTTTGAAAACAAGTAGCAGCTCTAAAGTGAGATACAGCAAAGTTTTTTGTTTGTTTTTTTTAATAAATGAAAAGAGAAACCACTAGTGACCAGCTTCTGGAAATAACTGTTAATCAGCCTGAATTTTTTGGAGGTCTGGAAAACTTGTTTCCCTTTGTCCTTTATTACCTTGCCAGGGCAGCAGTGCCAGGCTGGGGTAACATTTGGTGTCGTGGCAGGTCCTGAACGAGGTCGTGGTGGATCGTGGTCCTTCCTCCTACCTGTCCAACGTGGATGTGTTTCTGAATGGACACCTGATAACCACGGTGCAGGGAGATGGTGAGTCTGGGGCTCCATCCCTCCCCTCCTCAGCTGGGCACTGGGGTTATTTAACTGCAGGATTCCCTCACCTGGAAATGAAATCTGAAGCTTCAGTTCCCCCGTGGCAGCAAAGATGAGTGTGCAGAAATAGGTGTGCTTGTTGATTGGTTAGTGAACAAACTAGGTGTTGTAAGCTTTGTTTTTGGGCTTGTGGAGGCAAGTGGCAGTTTCTTTGGGTGTCACATGTTTGGGCTAAAGGCAAGAAAGAGCTCAGAAAGGATTGGCTTGGACCGTCTGGAATTTGCCGGAGGCAAACAACCTCAGCTCCCAACAACCTCAGCCCTCAACAGCCTCAGCTCCCAACAACCTCAGCCCCCAACAACCTCAGCCCCCAACAGCCTCAGCTCCCAACAGCCTCAGCCCCCAACAGCCTCAGCCCCCAACAGCCTCAGCTCCCAACAACCTCAGCCCCCAACAACCTCAGCCCCCAACAACCTCAGCCCCCAACAACCTCAGCCCCCAACAGCCTCAGCCCCCAACAACCTCAGCTCCCAACAACCTCAGCTCCCAACAACCTCAGCTCCCAACAACCTCAACTCCCAACAGCCTCAGCCCACAACAGCCTCAGCTCCCAGGCTGCAGGAGTTAATCTGCAGAGCTCTTACCCTTAAAAAAAAAGTGAGAGTCACTGTTACAAAACCCTGTAACCCGAGATGCAGAACTTTGTGCAACTCCCCTACAACGCAGGGCAGGTGGGATGAGGAGGGAGTTTCTCCCTGTGTGTGTGTGTTCCAGGCTGCAGTTCTGCTGGGAGGGACGAGCTCTCTGCTTGGTTTTCACGACTGTGTGATTTGTGTCTCCCACTGTGGTGCTGGTGCAGTCCCAAACTTGCTGTTTGTCCCCCCCAGGGGTCATTGTGTCCACCCCCACGGGCAGCACGGCGTATGCAGCTGCAGCAGGAGCCTCCATGATCCACCCCAACGTTCCTGCCATCATGATCACCCCCATCTGCCCACACTCCCTGTCCTTCAGGCCCATCGTGGTTCCTGCTGGGGTGGAACTCAAGGTCGGCTCCTTCGCTCCGATTTCTCTTTGTAAACCAAAAACATCAAGTGTAAATGTGTTGTGATAAATATATAAATGTTGTGGGCAGTCAAGGAACACCCATGGGAGTGGGACCAAAGCAGGGGGGGTTGGGGAATGCTCTGGACCTGGGATTGAGTTCCTTTCTCTCTTTCAGATCATGCTGTCCCCTGATGCCAGGAACACAGCCTGGGTTTCCTTTGATGGAAGGAAGAGGCAGGAAATATGCCATGGAGACAGGTCAGGCCTTTTTTTTGATTGTAGTATCTCTAAGTGTAGAAAATCCTGATCCATGCAGTTCCCTCATTCTCTGACATCTGCTAAAGGAGTGAAGAAACAAACTTTTATAAACCTCTTACAGCACAAACTGCACTAAAAGGGTTCAATTTCCTTATATCTTCCCATTAAAGCAAGTGAAACGTTCAGACAGAAGCATGTGAACCTTGAAAGCTTGGCAAGGGAGATGGGCATGCCTTTAAAAATAATCTATAAATTTTAACTTCAAGATAAATCTTGGGAGTTCTAGCAGATGTAAATCAGCAGGAGCTGCCTGTAAACAGTGGTGCTGAAAATCTCCACGTGGTTTAAGCTGTGTTAACCTGGGAAATGCTGGTGCTCACTTGCTCCTGCCTTGAGTGAGCAGAACACGGGGTGTGAGGGTCCCTCAGGTTTTATGGGCAGTGTATGGTGGCTCATCCTCATGGGAGGGGATTTCAGGGGTTTAAGGCAGCTGTGAGGAGGTCACTGGTGCATTTGCCATTCAGGAGGAGTTTTTTCCTCTTGGCCCAGACAAGTTGCCAGGAAGGAAAATGTACAGCTGGCATAACTCCATCCTGAACTGCTGGTGTTTCCTCTGAGGCTGAAACATCTTTAAAGTAGTTCTGTAGAATATAGAAACATCTTTAGAGTAGTTCAGGAGAGCAAGAAGGTTTCAAACATGAGGTTTGGCCCCGTTTTAGTTTCTGGACTCTCAGTGCTGTTGCTTATAGTTAAAACTTGAAACTTAAAGGCCAAGGTGGCCACTTGGGTGTTCCTGTGTCACTGTGGGGTTGATGTGAAGAGCAGCAGAGGGGCTGCAGGGCATCCTGGGCTGTGTTCAGTGTTCTCACAGTGCCAGAAGGTGCCCACAGTGCAGCTGGGAGCCATTCCCAGCCCTGGCTTTGCTCTGCTGAGCCGAGCCCCAGTCCCGGTCCCGGCTGGGCTGTGGGAGCTCTTGTTCTCCCAGGTTGGTGGCTGTGGGGCTGTGTTAGCTCAGGAGCAGGTTTGGTTTTGCCCAGAGTGCTGTTTGCTGCCCTGCCTGATGGCTGTCCTGTGTTGCTATTGCAGTATTAGCATCACTACCTCTTGCTACCCCCTTCCTTCCATCTGCTTCCGAGACCCCGTGAGCGACTGGTTCGAGAGCCTGGCCGAGTGTCTGCACTGGAACGTGAGGAAGAAGCAAAACAACTTTGCTGTGGAGGAAGAAGAATTTTGAGTGTCTGCATCTCCCCAGACCCGTGGGAATGGAGTGTGGCAGTATCCCCTCTGTCTGCTTGGATTTTGGAGCCTTTGGCTGCCAGCGTGGACCTGCGCTGTGGTTGTGGTTTTATATCTGTGAGATCCCGTGGCTGGGAATTGTGTTACTGCTCCCTGTGCAACCAAGGGTAGGGATGGAAGAAATTGGGCTCTAGTTGCTGTAGTCCAGGGTGAATTTCCTTCTGGAAACTGGATTCTTTCTGATTGAGAGCGACAGCCACATCTGCAGCTTTGATTGTAACCTCTCCCTTACCAAGGGCATGAATGTAGATACACCCCAGGAGAGTGGCATTAAAACAGCCTGGTTTATTTGGTATATTTGTAATTCCATTGAACACTGCTACGAGTATAAAGGCTCTAAGAAGTTTTCTTAAAAAAAAAAAAAAAGATAATCTCTCCTCTTTGTTAGCTTAAATACATCTGGCCCAGAAAACACTCTCTTACTCTCAGATGTGACACGCTGAAGAAACACCCCTGGAGGATGTTTTTTATTGATAGATGGAACTAGCACAAAAAAGTATCTATTTTTTATGTATACATTTCTGTCTCTTGTGCCCATTTGAACAGTGGCTGACCCTTGGCTGTCAGCACTGTGGAAATACCCACAAATATTATTAGTTATTGCAGCTATCTCTGGTTTTGTAGCTGAGCTGCTTTTAGAGCTCTGCAGTTCCTGCTGCTGGGAATCATCCATGTGTTGTGTTTTTCTAATTCTTTTTGTTTGATTCCCTGGAATAGCATTAGAGACCACCATGTTTTTTAAAAAGAAAAAACAAAACAGTCCTCCAAGTGTTCAGGAAGAATCTGGACTTCAATTGCTACAACATTGTCTAGTTCCACTATTGTCTTGAGGAAAATATCCTGTAATGCCCTCAACTTCCATGGATATCCCTTCCAGCTCTTGGTGCTGAGTAAAAGAGGACGGGATACTGCTCTGGTGGCTGGAGAATTGGAGAGGACACATTCCCAGTGGAGTAGCAACGGTGCCTTCAGCGCTCAAGATTATTCTGAGTCTCGTGTTTTTCCTTTTCTAAGATGCTTTCAGAGGTTTCTAACTTCTCTCTGTACATATTTTATCGTCTGTGCTTTTTCTGAAAGAACAAAAAACAAAAAAAACCCAACGGAAGAACTGGTTGGGGGGGGAAAAATAAAAAAGGGTTTGCCCTGTACTTTACCTGAGAACCAGCAAACCCCAGGATAATGTTTACATTTATGTTCTCTGTGGTGCAGTCTCATGATCATTAATTACCCAAACTTTAGCATTTTTCAGTCTTGCTGCATCGGCTGGTGAAGGAGTGGGCAGGAGCTGTTGCAGTTGGAGTCTTGCAGTGGAATTAGTTTCCTGGTTGAGGTGGGATTTCCTTGGAAACAGAGTGAGGAGCTCTGGTGAACTTTCCCTGGTCGTCTTACGTTGTTTCTGTGGTCCAAAGTGGAGATGGGAAGTGTGTTCATTCCCAGACCCTGCCTGGCCTCTTGTCCTCTGATGGTCTGAATAATGTCTCATCCATTCTGGGTGCTGCCCTAGTCTGAGTTCATTAAATCCAGGTGAGAGCACTTTGCCATAAAAGAGAAGCAAACTCTTGGTTCAAATCACAGTGAAAGTGTGTTGGTAGAAACGAACACTCGGTTTGTAAATGCTGTAAAATAGAATATTGGTTTGATTTGGTCTAAACAGACGGATTTTGTGGTACCTGGGAGAATATCCAGGTAAGCTTTTGGGATTTCTCTTTCACTTGAATCTGCAGTAATTGCTTTATCACTGTTTTCGAAGCTGCTTACGGGTTTGCTGGGTGGAGTATCCAGTTATTTGATAACTGTTTACTTTTTGAACTGTAGAAGTGTCAGGCTTTTTTGCTTTGAAACTATTTTATTTAAACATGCAATAATTGAGAGAAGGAACAGGGTATGGGGAAATGCCTGGTGAGGTGGAAAAGGAGTGGAGTTCTAGGCACACTAGGAAGTGGGAATCATTTTGCAGAGGCAAGGTGAAATGATTTATGAGCCTTATCTAGTATTTTTTTAAAGATAAAACTATATTCAGCACTTTTTATTTATGCTTTTTATAATAGTAAAGCTGTTCTTGACTAAGTGGCCGGACTTTTGATTTTCAGAGTGCACAGGTCATGGAATCTGTAATCAAAGTGTACTGAACTACTTTAGATCTACGTTAGGGGTTGGCTTTGAATTTATTCTTTCAATTTATCACCCACTGCAGCTGCACTGCTGGCTCTGAGGCTGCTGCAGTTTTGCTTGGGGAGCACTCCCTGCTGAGGAGGTGTTTGGGTGTGTGCTCAGCCAAGGCAGAGCTGCATCACCCACCCGAGGCAGGGCTGACTCGGGGCTTGATTTTTCCTTCCAAAAGCTGCCTTGATCCCAGTTATCCCAACTGCTCTGTGCCCAAGCACGGCCCAGGCTGTGCTCAGGCATCTCAGACTTATCTGAGTGTACAAAGTCCCTGGGCAAGGCTTTTAATCCACGAGCTGTAATTCCCAAACCGTAATTCCCAAGCAGGAGAGGGAGGCTGAGCAGCAACTGGGGTTTTCAGACTCAGCTGCTGTCACGTGGGTGAATTTTTTGCTCAGAGCTGAACCAGAAAAAAAAAAAAAAAAGCTGTAAATGCACACTCGGTTCGTTGGCAATAAAACCTCGTTCTGCTGATGTAGCTCATTCGAATTAACTCGTTGAAACTGTACTAAAAACAAAAAAAAATAGGGTTTTGCTGATTAGGAGTTTCTAAAACAAGGGGTTTGTGGGTGTCCCTGTACCCTGCAGATCCTTTCCAGTCTACAAAGGGCCAAAATGGAAGCTGGGAAAATGAATTTGTTTTTTTTTTTAAAAAAAAAGTTATTATCCTCTAGTAGAAATTGAAGTCATTAACAACTGTGTAGCACGGAATAAAGCAGTGTACTGAATTTTTAAAAGCTGAAAAATCCTGTTACATATTGTTAACGCATTGAGAACTCGTTTTGAATATTGTTGAAAACGAATATTTTTCAATCCTTTCAATAAAATCTTTTTGTAAAGTTGCATTTGTCGAGCAGCGCTTTGACTGGGGGAGAATATCAGATTAAGAACACACACACAGTTAGTTGGAGAGCAAATGTCCAGGGTGGGCTTTGACACGTTGTCTCGTGGAACAGGGGCATCTGTTTTACTAAAATACAGCCAGGGCTTTTCTGAGGGTATTGTCTGATAACAGTCTGGGCTCAAGAGTTTCAAAAGAAATGCTGGATTTGCTGTGCAAATTGAAACAGATCTTGTGTATGAGTAGCTGGGCTACATTAACTGTGTTTTTGAAGGCCCAGGGATAGAAATACCAGGGCAGTGATGTCAAATAACCTCTGATAATTTGGATAGCAAGATGAAGATTGAAAATGCAGTTTAATTGCCTGTTGTGTCCTTGGCTTTGCACGTTCTGACCAAGTTCCAGACCCTTCCTCCCTGGAACTTGTCACTAATTGTGTTTGAGAGTCCTTTGGTTTCCTCATTAACGTGTCACCCCTTCCAGCAGCTCCTGCAGGTGCTGGACAAGTGTGAGGAGACACCTTGGGCAGGTGATGGAGCTGCTTTGGAGTTCATTTGTTTTACAAGCACCTTAGGAAGGATTTTCCATCTTCTCCTGCCTGGCTGGTGACAAACTCCTGCTGTCCCTGGCCAGAGCAATAACCCCCATTGCTGGGACACTGACACTCAGTATGACATAAAACTATTTATTACTCTATTTATTGCATAAAACACACTTTCTTCACCTAATTTTGGTCAAGTCCAGGCTTTCTGCAAGGTCAGAGCCTTCCCTTGCTGGTCCTGCTCTGGGCAGGCCCTGCTGCACAAAAGGCCTGAATGTGCTTGACTGTGTTTCTCCATTTCAGCAACAATTCACAGTCCCTCTGACTTGTGCAGTGAAGTCACAGCCATCAGCTGCTGCTCTGGCAGCTGGGGCCACACAATCCAACCCTTTCATGCCCCCCTTGGGCCTCCTGGAAAGTAGATTTGATTCAGGTTTAGGAGACTGGGATGAGAAAAATACAAATTTTTTAATAGGGCTTTTGAATTTATTTTGTATTTATAATAATTATATACTTAGATATTTAATTTATTTAATTTTATATTTACATTTGTTTTATATATGTTTTATATTATTTTTTAATTTTGTATAGGGGTTTTTTAATAGTTTTTGATATAATCCTTGCAGATTTCCCTGATCAGCTGCAATCCATTTTTGAACTGCTTTGTGCAGTGTACAAGATAAAGATGTGTCTGAGGAGGACTGATGGTCACAGCACATGTGAATTCCAGCCCCTTTCCTGCTTGGCTTGTGAGATTTCCCATTGAATTCGTGCTATTGTAAGTGAAATAATTAGCCACACACACACTGTGCTTGTACTTTATTTAAAAATAGCCAGTAGTTAAAGGTTGCAGTCAATAAAATAGCAAACTTTAAATTACAGTATTAAAGGCTTGTAACAGTCCCCCTGGCGTGGGATGGCACGTTGGTTAGAGACACTGGAGGGGAGCAGGAGATCAGAGTGAGCTGCTCTCGGGTGTAGCTGGGACTGAAAAACAAGTAACTGAAATGTTCTGAAGTCAGAGGAGGAAGAAGAGCCCCAGGCAGGGAAGAGCTGTCACCAAACACCAGCAGGGCTTGGCTTTTCCACCATAAAATCTGAGCTGAGCAACAATGGCAGGACAGAGACACCCAGACCTGGGTATGGGGGGTGCAAAGAACTGTCACTGGGGCTGTGCTGGCCCAGGAAAACACTTTTACAGCAGCAACACTCTGCTCTGTCACTGGGGCTGTGCTGGCCCAGGAAAACACTTTTACAGCAGCAACACTCACATGCACGTCGTGAACCTCCCGTGGTTACAAAGAGCAGGAAAACGAGGAGTGGGAGATGCTCTGTCCTGCCAGAACTCCCCGGGGTGAGAGCACTGACTGCTCCTCTGCTCTCCAAGCCAGCCCCAGCTGCCCTGCTGTGGCTCTCCAGCACCATCCAGGAATGTGTGGTGTTGTCCCCAGCCCCTGTGGAAGTGGCCCCTTAATTTCCCACTCAGAATCAGATGCTTGGTCAGAGCTGCCCCTGCTGTGCCTTCACTCGGTGAGAGCTGCAGGGGGAGCACGGGGGGCTCAGGAGTCGATCCTTCCATAGGAAGAAAACACTGTGGGCAGAGAGGAAGGTCAGTCAGCACCAAGGCAATGCTCAGCAGTGCCCTTCCTGCCAAAGGAGGTCTGAGTTGTTTAGGATTAGGAGCTCTCTGGAGCCCTTTATCCTGTGTCTCTTTGTTATTATACAGCATGGTAAGAAAAATCACAGGTATCTGAGAGATTCTTCCACACAGGCCTGATTTTTTTGGATACCAGGATTCCTGGCAAAGTTGGCAGCAACTTTAACTAGTGTCAGCTTTCCACAGGGAGAAACCACACATATTCTGCTCAAGCTTCTGAGCTTGGTCAGCCCAGTAAACCCTGAGGCTGCAGAAGTGCCTGAGGTCCTCAGAGATGTGCCTTTTACTGGGAGCATCCCTATTTTCCTGGCTCTCCACTGTGATACAACGGGCCACAACCTTCCCAGGTAAGTTTTTGAGGTACTTACTTCTCTCTCTCAGCCCCTGCCCAAAGCTGCGGTACACGTGGAGCAGGGCCCAGAACAGGACAGATTTAATGGCAACAGAAATGCAGGAGCCAGTAATGAAAGCAGCTTCCAGAGTGTAGGAATTCCCTTTGCCCCACTCCCTTATCACCTGCAGGAAAAGGGAGACATAAAACAATCAACACCCAAGATCTGGAAGCCATAAGATGCAATGGAGCACTGAATTTCTGAAAGAAGTGGAATTTGGGGGAAGAAAAAAACCCAAACTGGTCGCTTTTAAATTTAGTTTCCTGTTTAGATGATGGAGGGTAAAGTGTCCTGCTGTGCTGTGCCAGATCAAGCAGGCCTGGAGTAATGGGAAGGGCCTGCTTTGCCTGCACCCTGTGACAAACAGAACCCCAAGGACAGGGGTGGCTGCAGCCCCGGGACTTTTATCCGTGTCTGGAGACTGTGGATGTGGAGCAGGAGAAACCCTGGCCACTGTCAGCATTCCAGCCCTTCCCATGGTGAACAGTCTGCTCTGCCCTTGCCCTTCTCTCTCCCTGCTCCTTTCACATCTTGTGGGAGGTGCTGGAGCCCCACCGGGAAAGGCTTTATCACAAAATAACACCCAGCACTGGACTTGGGTGGGCTTGTTTTGGCTACACCAGGATCAACAGCTGGGGGTGCTGCCTAAGAAATCCTTTAAAACATAACAGCTGAGGCCCTGGTCAAATGCTCTGGCACCACTTGAGGCCTCATGAAGGAAAGGAGGCATTTTTGAGGAGCTCTGTGTCTTGTACTGGAAGATTGTGTTGCATTTTTCCCTAATTATTCTGGACACTTTGCCAGAGACTTCCAGAGCCTCTCCTTGTGTCTAATCAGTTCAAGATCAAGCTGAAATGGTTCCTGTCCTGAAAAATGGATCCTGAAGAGGCAGGATGTGCCTGCTGCTCTTTAGATTCAGCAGGAGGACATTTTGGGCCCAAGGATCCAGCAGGGAAGAGGAGCCCTCCAGCCTTGCTGTTCCCAGCCAGGTGAGTTTGCTGCGTTACCGTGTACAGCAGGTAGATGAGATACACCACTTCAGGGACATTCTGGATCAGAAAAATCCACACCAGGGGTTTCAGCTCTTTCAAAATCTGTAAAATAAGACAAGACACACATACAGCTCTATAACTTGTTGTTATATACTCTGTAAAAGCTACAAACAGCTGATTTTTCAGTGGCGTTTCAAGTGTTGGTCAGGCTGAGTTCTCAGCTGTAACTTTGCCCTCCTGGGCATTTTTTTTAAGCAGGAAATGCAGTCTCTGCTTTGCACTGAGCTGGGCCAGGAGTGATGGTGGTTTTTCTTTGGGTATGCTCAGGTTTTTCTCTAAAACAAAGGAATGTTAACAGCCTGAAAGCTCCCTGTGCCTTTTTTCCCCACCTTTGTTTCTACTTCAGAGAAGTGCAGGCACTGAGGACTGAAATGTCCCAGTAAAACGTGGGAGAAGCAAGAGGATTTCACTGTCAGGAGAACTCTGTTTCCCAATTCACCTTGGGACTTGGGAAAGAGGGAAGGGACTGCCATCCAGTCATGTAAAGACATGAGGCCACCTAACTGGAGCAACTCTTTCTTTTCTTACAAGGACAGAGCCTCTTTTAGTGCCTAAAGGCAACTCCAGGAGCAGCAAAGAATTTATAATCTGTGAGCAGCAACTGCCCAGGTGAACTTTGTTGCTGATGGTGAGGGGAAAGTAGCTGAAAGTTTTTTACATTTTTAATCCCATCAGGAAAACAGGCATCACTCTGATTAGGAGAAAGGTGATTCTGTGTTACCTGAGTTATTAAAGTGTTTTAAAAGCACAGTGCTTGGTGCTACCTCCGTTTTTAGCAAGGAAAGCCACCAAAACAATTGGAAAGCTGTATTTCAGCTGCCAGGAATTCGTGTGAATGTCAAAGCAAACAGCCAAGGAGCCTAAAAAAAACATTCACCCCCCCAAAAAAAACCCCCTAAACTCCTTCCTGGTCATAAAAGACTCACGTATCTGATGTACTTTGGCCCCGATTCTGCAATCACTCTTGGAACAGTCTCATGATTTCAGAGGAGGTTTAGTCTGACTGACGTGAAAAATGACATTTCAAGTTCACAAATCCTCATTTTAACCTGGACACTACCCCTGAACTCTGAAGAAGCTGTCCCCATAAAGGACCACTCAGCCTTTCTGGTGTGGTTTCCTAAGGATTTGAGGCCTGTGAAGTCTCTCTGTGTCTGTATAGCCCCAATAGTTTGGAGGACTGTTCCCAGTTTCACCCAACCTTGTCAGAGAGGTTTCAAACATGGAAGTGTGATCCTACAGGTTTCACTTAAGTAGGTGATCAAGGACTGAGAATAAAACTGTGTCCCTCAGACAGGAAGAATGACACTGTGACGTTGTTTCACCCCCTCAGGTGAGGCACAGATTTAGAAGTGCTGTTGG